AAACACTTGTGGACACCAGCACCATGGGCTCAGACTATAAGTCGCAGGCGTTGACACGTCTAATTGAAGCCAACCGGCTGTTAAAGAACCTCCTCGAGTCACTCATGACCTCGGTATGACTTCTCTCTACCTAACTTTATTTCAAATCTTGTGAAACTTTTCTACCCACTCAGAGCTCTCATTTGTCCCCATCTAACAGAAGGAAACGCAATTAGCAACAGATCGTCCCTTCACCCTGGCCTCCTCGCCCCTCTTAACCGCCTTGTTGTCAATCCTCGTGGCCGATCGAAAGGCTCATGTTTCCCTCCTCTGCAATGCGTCCATAGAGCAAGGCTCGAAGCTCGGCCTGCCACCACGGCCGCTCTCCGGTCCACAGCAGAAGAATATACCCACGCTGGCAGACTTTATTCGCTCCCTCACGGCCTATGTAGATGCTGAGGAGCAGGTTGGTTCAGTTTCGACGTCTTTTGCATTTTCTGCATCCCTCCGCCTTCCCACATCCATTCTTTTTCGTTTTCCCTCATCCATATGCAACAGTTCTTCCAAGCGGAACAGACGTCGCGAGGAATGGGAAAAACCGTCTCCCCGTTTATGACTTTGATTTTTCTACTGGTTTGACGGTCGCGATAGAAGTATGAATTTTAGATTTATGATTCCCGCCAAGACGTAGACCGTTTATACGAGACCAGTAAACGGCATTTTTATCTTTAGCTAAGTAAATGTACGTAGTCTTCACGTGACTTGAACAGTTTTTCAAACTCAGAGATAACTTCCGCACGCACTTCCTGACGGTAATGGCACGATAGTGGTTTTGAAATCATCGCTTCCATTTAATTAGGTTTACTGCGATTCACCTATACTGTAGCAGAAAGTTGTGCCTTTGTTGCATCCGGTTATAAACTCCACCGATCTTACGTTATAGTACACCGCATCTGCCTTTCATAATTTTGTATTAATCGATAACTTACCTCTCCCAGCACGTCTGTCCCGGCACCCCCCTTTGCCTGCGATGATTAATTCCGTTTTGTGTAGAACTTGAGCGTAGTGTCCGTGGCCGTTTGTCATATTTTATTAAACTTACATATCATCGAGGTTTACAAACATTCCAGTCACATATTTTGCATCCCCTTTCTTGAAATAGTCAGTTTGGGAACCTTGGAGCGTTAATGTTAAATTATTCTTAAGGAATGATCTTAGGAAATGGTTTATTTTTTGTCACTCACTGTTTTATTTATTTGGACTCTTCTATTACCCCTTGTTCTCATTTCCTGCCTAAACTTATGTCGACACGAACGCCTAATCGCAGCAGTGACATTTTGAGCGCGATCCGAACTCATCTTCCACAATGCCTGTCTGGAATCAGAGTTACTTTAAAGCCTCTAGCGAAGTAGTCTACTTTGTCGTTCATCCCGTCATTATTAATCAGCTTTTTATTCTAGTTTCACGTAACTGTTCTCTCTTTTTTGATTAGAGATGGAACACCCTCACCAGTGCAGTAGCGGCTGACCGACAGGAACTGGAGTCCGAGATTGAGTCAGCACGACAACGGGAGGAAACTCTAAAGTCGGAAGGTAATTTATTCCGAATTGTTCTCCACGATCCCCACCTTCACTGGCACATTCCTCTGGTAACCTCCTTGCATAAGTTACTTTGATGGCGGATCTGGGAATTTCTCTGAGGCACTACGTTCGTTCACCTAGCATTCAAAATTTATCCCCAATTAGAAATTCGAAATACCGTTTTTTTTCTGGAATTAATTTAATCAAGAAGAGAGGACAAAATATGCTGAAATCGATGGCATCATAAATTTTGGAACCTTTTGCAAGACATCAAACGGTTATTTCATATTTGCATAACCAGATGTTCGATAAGAATAAGGTCTAGAGCAATAAAACGGCATAGGTACTTATTTGTACTTGTGTTTGGTATAGCTGTGATCATGTCTGATCTAACCAGCCCCGATGAGATCATGTACTGTACCTCTCAACGCGTGACGATTCGCTACTGAGACCGAATAAAAGAGGTCCATGGACACTTTCCGAGGATTGAGAAAGCCCTGCAAGCATCATTGATTTGGGAAACAATGTCGTCCTTACCCTATCCATTCAGCAACGGCGTCGCCACGAGGTATTTGAAGTTGTTCGTCTCTTTAAATTGACAGCCATTAATTCCAAATGATACCGTTTGGTCAGGAATGCAACCCGATAGCTGTCCTATTGACCGATGACTTTGGTGATGACCGCTGACCACTGCCGTCTTCGTCCGTTCTGGCTCTAAAACGGGGCCGAATTTTTGCGCGCGGGGTTTCATCAATGCTGGGTTATCGAAGTTTTGTGACACCAAGGCACTTCGCACGTTGCATTTTAGGTGCTTGTGGGAGGTGAACTTTTAGGCGTGTGCTAACTAGAACAGGTCAGACCTATGAGCATTGCCAGTTTAGGCACCACACATCGATCTATTATCGTGAACCCAGCCGCGAAACCTTGAACCAACTAGAATGTAGTCTGACTGACTGTATGAGCGTTGTTTGAATACCAAGTAGACGTTTGTGGCGATTTTGAAGGCGCGTATTGGGGACATGCAGTCGATTTCGGTCAGCAAAATTAAACATCCTATCACCATTGTCGCACCGAGGGCCAAGTCCAGAACGGCCAGCCAGGTGACTTTCCGAAAAGTCGCCGAATCTAGTCCGCTTATTCCAGTCCCGAAAACAATCAGCATATCATGGCGATGGAGTCTTTGAGATAATTCCTGTGGTTGCGAGTAGAAGGTCTCTTTATCGTGGCGTTCGGCAGCTGATATTGGTGCGCACACGGAGACTACAGAGATGTTCGTAAAGTGATCCTTCAGTCGCACGCAACCCATCCGGTCATTGACTGATTCCACTGCAAATCGTGTACGGTTTGTTTGTTGCGAGAAGGCGGTCACCACACCGTATCTATCAGAAGAATCACGTAGGCCGCTGTCGTCCAGGGTGAAGTGCGAATCGACTCCCGGAATCTTTTTTTCCCGAGAGCCTGAGTTGGAAATTTGGACTTCAGACAAGCAACATACCACGTTCTGATGAAGGCCGTGTGCCGTCAGACTGGGTGTCAGGGTCCAGAAACGTTTGCACATCCCGGCATCCAGTCTGTTCCCGGTTGAGTAGTCCAGCTCGCATACTGTTCGTCCACACCACTGGGCCAGAGTTAGGGAGCCCGCGAACGCAGTAGCATTGATCATAATATTGTCATCAGGCATTTTTTTCATGAGGTTTTATGGAAATTATGAGCTCAGGCGGGTCCCAAACAGCTGCTCGGTATGTTTATTCGAGGTCGTCTTCTCCAACGCTTTGGCTCAAGAACCTAACCACAAGGCGGCGGTGGCAAGCAAGCTTATTTAATGGCGGCTCACCATCTCCGTGCCTCAGTGCCGCCATCGGGATTTTACTAATTTTACTGATTGACGTTTACTCGGTGGCAGCTGCCACGCAGGCGAACAACAGTTCTGCGAAAGATGGACATTTCCAATCTCTGATCTAGCCAATTCAGATGGTGCGCTCGCGTCCTCTTGGATAGGCGCCTGGTCCTTGGACTAATAACCTGCTCCTCGGCAATAAGTGAAGATATAAATGCACATTGAAGATGCCTGTAGGAGCAGTCTACCCTTTACCGTCGAGGCAAAGAGGGGGAGCGCTTCAGAAAATTAATCCTATCCAGGCCAACGGGAACGTGCATGCTGTAGCAGAGTTTGGGGTTTGCATTACACCAGGCGAGTTCCCAAAAGGCAGTGGGAAAAATAGTTCTTCCACTCCAACCATCGGTAGACCTTCCGTGTATTTTGCTTGAAACTTTTCTGGTAAACTGTTTTTCTGCTGTGTTTCGTGTGAAAGCGAGTTCGCTTTCCGTCGTATCCGTAGTGTATATTTAATGGCCGTTCAAAGTCAAACAAGGAGTCGCCAAACTTATGATTTTATTAGGTTCTATTTGTTCTGCTACCTCTGGCTTGTCAAAGTCTTTAATTTGGAGCAGAATTAATTGACAGAATGTTGGCCGGATTTCTGAACCTGATTTGTTTGAACGCAATCCCCTGCCGGTCGTCCAAAAAATAAGGCCAAAGGACTTATTTTGCACGACGAATGCGTATAACTATAAAGCACAGTGTTTGTGAGCTTACTTTAGAACACCCGGAGTACGCTGGTTTTGTGTTATGATCCGATTGCCTAACTTATCTCTCCAATACTCTATCACTTGTCCAGTTGTCTTTGTGGTCATTTAGTGCCTTAATACGCATGTTTAGTTCCTAGCTCACTTTTGGGGTTACACTTGGTTATGCCCTTTCATCTTATGTGTTTCAGCATCGAGCACTCTTTCTTTTGTCTTACTTGACTAGTAACACGGCTCTCGAAAGAGCTGACCGCTCGCGATGCAGTGCTTCTAGAGAAAGCAGCCTCAGTGGATAAACAACTGGCTGCTAGTCAGCGGGAACGGGACCTCCTCCGGACGAAATTGGAGGAGACAACGATGGAGTCCCAAAAGTTGACTGCCACTTTAGAGCAGACTCGGTGAGTGCCGTTTCTTCTTTTCTGTGTACGCATTTACATTCCGCGGAATTTGGCGGCCACACGTGTGGCCTCCTAATTGCTGGTGTGCACATTGACTAAACTATCTAGATTTAATTACCATGGTACGAAATACCAGCACACGGCGACAGTTCGACCGTCGATTTCGACGATGTCCACCGTGTGCCCCACAGACTGCATTGTGGGAGCAGGGACGGTGACTTACGCAGGGGTTTCTAGTGCCAGTAGACTTGCGTAGCATCTACCTACACTCTCTCCTCCTCCCCCGCCTGAGCCCGGTGTCAAGACAGAGTCAAGAAGACCGGAGACGGGGGAGGCCGCAGGTGGATGGCTCGGACGGATCCTCGCATTGGTGCTCCACTCCGCACCCCCTGGTCCACACACAAATGACCAGGATTTTGACCACAAAACAATGGGGTGGCGGCAGTGGTCCAGTTGAGCGACGAATGCCGACAACAGGGTCCGCCAGCACACCCCGGGAATGTTGGCATTTGTTATTGCGCACATATAACGCCTGCCAGAGTCCGATGTGGCCCCCGTGTTGGTCCAGCACATCTAACACGTGGCCCGTTTAGAGGGCACCACACACGCCAGCACACACACCACACCAGCAGCACACACGCATGTGACGACTGACATGTTTCTGCGGTTGGCCTCCCTCACACTAACAGCAATTAAGAAGTGCTGTAGGGTGTGCCTGCTTGTCATTCTTAATGCAGGTATGTTCGGAGGAGCCAATGTTGACTGACTTGCCTGGGCAGAGTAATTAGTTACGCTGGGAACGCGTAGGTGAACACTGTTCTCAGTGGCAGTACTACTAAACCACTTTGCCTAGTCATTATCATGCCAATCACAAGCATCGCGGCAGAGGATCTGGACACGAGCACTGCTCTCGTCTCGATTTTCGCTTATCTCGACAATTCTCCCCTGTCGTTTTTCTCGATGGCAAGATATTTTGTAGTTTGATGGACATCCTTGTGAGAGCCGTCCCTGGGGCAGGTATTAACCGGTGTGGCTGAGTCGAGCTCAGTGGCTCGTTTTTGATATCAACTTTATGGCAATCACACTGATAGGGGACCGAGCCCACATCCGGTCGTCCCGATACTGTCTTGCCATCGGAGCCTCATGGGCGAAAGAGCGCAAGTCTACTATCACTATAAATAGATTCACGCACAAGTCACCCTCCTACGCCCACCCCGTGGGGCACACAGTGGACGTCGTTCTTTGCGGTGGTCAGACTATCAAGTTCAACCGGTGGCATACGTCATTTCAGACCAACGAATATAGCTTGACGTTGAAGTCTGCGTTTTTGCGTGGATGTGATGCCTCAGACAGCGACTTTTATATATATATATATATATATAACAGCTGGAAGGAAGAAGTGTAAGCATATCTGCATAAGTGTCATTGAGGTTTCAGGGTGTTCCCGCAGACCAGCTCGGTTGCAGTACAACCGAATTCGAAATTTATGGTTAAACAGAGAGGCAGCGTCACCAGGGATAAAAACTGTCGGACCAGCGGCTGAGTAAATCTGGAGCGCCAGTGGTATTTACAACTATGGACTGAAATTTCCGGCTAGCTCTCCGACTTAGAGTTCTTCATGCATCCTGTTTGAAGAAGTACAGTGAGGTGGACTCAAATTGCGGACCATTCTTCGTCACCACTACATACGCCCCCAGTATGTTGTTTATGTTTGGCAACATTTTCGGCGGCGATGTGTGCAGTGGGCCCACCGACGGGACAACGAGTGGGTTGGTCCAAATGCCATACTGCAATGCACGCTTGTGCTGCGTTATGATTGAACTAGCTTGAGGAGGAGTTCTACTGTTACCTGAACTCCAGGGTTTACAGACTTTTTGAACTGTTTCTACCACCTAGTTTCTCATGTATGTGGACGCGACCCTACATTGTGTTCCACCGGTTAGGCTCAAGGTGATATTTTACATTTAATCAATAACGAGAAGTTTGCGCAGCCATCGTGGATTTGTCGGAAATTACGGATGGCCAGACTACAAACTTAATCTTAACTTCTGAAAACAGTGTTGGAATTCTCCGAGACTTGGCTTCTTAAGTGTGAAATGTCTGCATTCGCTGTATTTTCTGGATTCCAGAGTAGGTGCCTCCATTCACCCTCCATCCTGTCTGTCCCTCTCTTTCTGATAGAAGAGCAGCTGAACTAGTTGGCGTTTGTGGTGACTGCCATTTGTCGTGGCAGTCATCGAAACTTTCTGAGAATGAACACATTAATGTTCAGTCACTTTCCACAGGGCTTCTCTTCGGCTAGCATAACCTTGCTTTTCGTAGGTGGCACCTTACACCACAGAATTTGTCTGGATCAACTGCATAATTTGAGTTAACAGTGAATTATGGCGGTTTCGGTGAAGAGGTTTTGTGAAGGACAACGCACCCGATGACGTAACTCGTGAAATATGAGAAAATTCTCGAAATCTCTAGTCAATTGAAATGACCCCTAGTGCATTGATCAGACCCCCTCTTTTTACAGAACATTTTTTAGGTAAGCGAGAAAAGGTATTGAAGGAGACATTACTTTCCTGTCAAATGGGCAAGACTTGACTTGTAGAAGCGCACAAAGTCTGTCCGTGCAAACAACTGGTCGAGTATGGCAATGACATTTCGACCGTTGTTTCCGACGACGACTTGCGCGTGAATTCCTTAATAATGATAGTAGACTTGCGCGGCACCTACCGCACTCTCTCTCCCCCGCCTGGGTCTCGGTGTCATGTGAAGAATACCGGAGGCGTGGAAGGGCGCAGGTGACTGGCACGGCGAAAACCCGCACCTTAGCGCGTGTCATCATCGCCTCGGATCCCTTTGAGTGCGAGTCCCATAGAGACCACAGTAAGGAGAATCCATTACAACCTCAGTCCACCAATTAGCCGCTCAGGATCAGTATTGAAACATAGGCAAAGACGACCTTCAAAAAGTATTTTAGCCAATCGCCAGGCTAAATATCCCCAACTAATTAATGCAATATGCAGTATGGCAACTAGTCATCTGCCGAATTTTCGATTTTGTGTTCCAAAATGATTATGCGACAAGTCGATGTAATTCGGTTGACTAAGACTGATAGTTTTTTGCCTAATATCCCGGATAGAGACGTCACAGGAATGGAAGTTTTCATAGTCTCACGTCCCAAGAGAATTTTTCCTCCTTAAATTTCCGTACGGCTTCTGGTGACGGTATAGTCGGCTGCGTCACCAGGCCTCCTTGAAATGCCCGCGAATACTTTGCGGTTTTCAGTGTTCTCAGTGGGTTTGCCCAACGTGGTAGGTTTTGATGTTTGTTTTTGTAAAAACCTTTAAAACGATTCATGAATGCTTTCACCGATGCAGTGCTAGACGTTCTTTTTATGGAGATGAGGATTTAGGTCATATTTGTAGTTCCATCCACCAATGAAACCCAATCGCCGAGGAAGTGGAACGTCCACTGCGAAGGCCTGTGATGAGTATGCTACTGATCAGATTAGGAAGTGCTTTTCTGGGGTATCTCGTTTATGAACGTCCGCGCCCCTTGTATTTTTCCAAAAAGTGAACGGAAGAGTTGAGTATTTTGCCTAAATGATATCGATAGTCCTTCTGCCGCATGCGAAAAAACTACATTTCCCCATTATATTAGAACCTGCTTTGTTACCTTTCTTTACTCTTGGACTTCGTTCTACAATTATTAATGTGATTGTGTAAATAGTAAACCACGGTTTCGATTTTGAACGCTCTACTGGCTCTGTTTCCAAATTACTCATCCTCAAGAACTTAGTTACAAAATAAGTACTTTGCCATTTGGGTAAAAGTCAAAATCGCTGTTTAGTGCTCGGTCCTTTTGCGGTTAGGTTTGCATGCTATTCTTATGCGTGGAAATTATGGCTTTGTTCGAACAAATGGTTGCCTGTAGGTGTTTTTACTGCATTTTACAGTATAAAATTACAAATTTGCAAATCAGAATTTCTAAACAGGAGAAAATTTCTGTTCTGCTGAAAATAACTTACATGCACATATTTTGCCTTATCTGAGTTACGCTGATAGCGAAATCCATTTTGAGGTTGACGACGATAGTTTTGGTGAGCCCTACCCTTTTAGCTCGATATCATCTTTAAAAAACTGTGTGCCAATGTTCAGATGTGGTTTAAGACGGTCATTATTATAGGAAATTGCGTTAAGACAAGTTAACTTTTTATCGCTCCCCCCTTAAGTCGTTGAAATTAAAAGCTGCTACCCGTGACTCACTAGGAGGAAATCTAATTAGCAAGGAAGTATTTTCTCTCGTTCTAACTTCCAGACCACTCCAGTTTCGTGTTATTAATCGGCCGCCACGAGCTGGTAATTGTCGTTGGCGTGAAAGAAGGGGGGCTTTAGACGACGTCTACCACACTGCGAGCCTATTATGCCACAAATTTGGGGCAGTTTTATAGTCGTGAATCTTCGCTGGCTCATACACAGCATC